TTTAATACACCACTAACATCACTGGATAAATCCGCTAAACAAAAACTCAGCAAAGAAACAGCAATCCTAAATGACTCACTAGATCAGATGGACTTAATAGACATCTTCAGAACACTTCACCCCAAAGCCACAAAATATATGTTCTTCTCAAGTGCTCATGGGACATATTCAAAAATAGACCACATATTGGGTCACAAACAAAGTCTCCCCAAATTCAAGAAGATTGAAATCATAAAAAGCATCTTCTCAGACCACGAAGGCATAATATTAGAAATAAACTACAATAAAAAAACCCCAAAATACTCAAACACTTGGAAGCTGAATAGCATGTTATTAAATATTGGTTGGGTTACCAATGAGATCAAAGAAGAAATTAAAAACATCCTGGACACTAATGACAATGAAAACACAACAATCCAAAACCTTTGGGACACAATGAAAGCAGTCCTGAGAGAGAAGTTTATAGCTCTACAGGCCTACCTCAACAAACAAGAAAAAATGGTAGTAAATCATCTAAATCTACAGCTCAAAGAATTAGAAAGAGAGCAACAAGAAAAGCCCAGGGTGAGCAGAAGGAAGGAGATAATAAAGATTAGAGCAGAAATAAAAGACATAGAGACCAAAAAAACAATACAGAAAATCAATGAAACCAAGAGCTGGTTCTTTGAAAGGATAAACAAGATTGACAAACCTCTAGCCAGGCTCACCAAGAAGCAAAGAGAGAGGACCCAAATAAATAAAATCAGAAATGATAGAGGCGAAATAACAACAGACCCCACAGAAATACAAATGATTGTTAAAAAATACTATGAACAACTTTACTCCAACAAACTAGACAACCTGGAAGAAATGGACATATTTCTAGAAAAATACAACATTCCAAAACTTAATCAGGAAGAATCTAAAAATCTCAACAGGCCAATAACTATGGAAGAAATTGAAGCAGTCATCAAAAAGCTTCCAGCAAACAAAAGCCCAGGACCAGATGGCTTCACAGGGGAGTTTTACCAAACATTCAAGGAAGAACTAAAACCTATCCTCCTCAGACTACTACAAAAAACCCAAGAGGAAGGAACACTTCCAAGCTCATTCTATGAAGCCAGCATCACCCTAATACCAAAACCAGGTAAAGACAACACAATGAAAGAGAATTACAGGCCAATATCCCTCATGAACATAGATGCCAAAATCCTCAACAAAATCTTAGCAAATCGGATCCAGCAGTACATCAGAAAGATCATACACCATGACCAAGTAGGATTTATCCCAGGGATGCAAGGATGGTTCAATATCCGCAAATCAATAAACGTGATACATTACATAAACAAATTGAAGGAAAAAAACCACATAGTCATTTCAATTGATGCAGAAAAAGCGTTTGACAAAATTCAACACCCATTTTTGATAAAAACTCTCAGCAAGGTGGGAATAGAAGGATCATACCTCAACATAATAAAAGCCATATATGACAAACCCAAAGCCAACATCATACTCAACGGACATAAACTAACACCATTTCCCCTAAGAACAGGAACAAGACAGGGATGCCCACTCTCACCACTCCTGTTCGACATAGTATTGGAAGTATTAGCCATTGCAATTAGAGAAGAAGAAGAAATAAAAGGCATCCAAATCGGAAAAGAAGAAGTAAAACTGTCCTTATTTGCAGATGACATGATATTATACCTAAAAAACCCTAAAGACTCCATCAAAAAACTATTAGACTTAATAAAAGAATTCGGCAATGTAGCAGGATACAGAATTAATGCCAAAAAATCTATGGCATTTCTATACACCAATAGCGAACTTGCAGAAAGAGAGACTAAAAAAGCAATCCCATTTACCATCGCACCAAAAAAATTAAGCTACCTAGGAATAAACTTAACTAAAGAGGTTAAAGACCTCTACTCAGAAAACTACAGGACGTTGAAAAAAGAGATAGAGGAAGACATAAACAGATGGAAGAACATACCATGTTCTTGGATTGGTAGAATCAACATCATTAAAATGTCCGTACTGCCCAAAGCAATCGATAAATTCAACGCACTTCCCATTAAAATACCAACGGCATATTTCACAGACCTAGAACGAACTCTCCAAAAATTCATCTGGAATAAAAAATGACCCCGTATAGCTGCAGCGATCCTGAGAAAGAACAAAGTAGGTGGGATCTCAATACCAGATATCAAGCTGTATTACAAAGCCACTGTTCTCAAAACTGCCTGGTACTGGCACAAGAACAGACATATAGATCAATGGAATAGAATAGAGAGCCCAGAAATCAGCCCAAACCAATATGCTCAATTAATATTTGACAAAGGAGGCAAGAACATACAATGGAGTCAAGATAGTCTCTTCAATAAATGGTGTTGGGAAAATTGGACAGATACATGCAAGAAAATGAAACTAGACCACCAACTTACACCATACACAAAAATAAACTCAAAATGGATAAAGGACTTAAATATACGACGGGAAACCATAAAAATACTAGAAGAATCCAAAGGCAACAAAATTTCAGACTTATGCCAAAGCAATTTCTTCACCAATACTGATCCTAGGGCATTGGAAACTAAAGAGAAAATAAACAAATGGGACTACATCAAAATAAAAAGTTTCTGCACAGCAAAAGAAACCATCAACAAAACAACAAGAAAGCCCACTACATGGGAGAACATATTTGCCAACAGTATATCTGATAAGGGCCTAATCTCCAACATTTATAGGGAACTCATACAACTTAACAAAAGGAAGATAAACAATCCAATCAAAAAATGGGCAAAGGATCTAAATAGACACCTTTCAAAAGAGGACATTCAGAAAGCCAAGAGACATATGAAAACATGCTCACAGTCGCTAATCATCCGAGAGATGCAAATCAAAACAACAATGAGGTACCATCTCACACCTGTCAGAATGGCTATCTTCAACAAATCAACAGACAACAAGTGCTGGAGAGGATGTGGAGAAAAAGGAACACTTGTGCACTGCTGGTGGGAATGCAGACTGGTGCAGCCACTATGGAAGACAGTATGGAGTTTCCTCAAAAAACTGGAAATGGAACTCCCATTTGACCCTGTGATCCCACTTCTAGGAATATATCCCAAGAAACCAGAAACACCAATCAGAAAGGATATATGCACCCCTATGTTCATAGCAGCACAATTCACCATAGCTAAGATCTGGAAACAGCCTAAGTGCCCATCAGTAGATGAATGGATTAGAAAACTGTGGTACATCTACACGATGGAATACTATGCTGCTGTAAAAAAGAAGGAACTCTTACCATTTGCAACAGCATGGATGGAACTGGAGAGCATTATGCTAAGTGAAATAAGCCAGTCAATGAAGGAAAAATGCCACATGATCTCACTCATTCATGGATAATAGAGACCATTATAAACTCTTGAACAATAATAGATACAGAGGCAGAGTTGCCTCAAACAGACTGTTAAACTACAGCAGGAAGGCCGGGGAGGGTGGGGGGGCTGGAGGGGGGGGTAAGAGATCAACCAAAGGACTTGTATGCATGCATATAAGCATAACCAATGGACATAAGACACTGGGGGGTAGGGGAAGCCAGGGGATTGTCAAGGGCGGGAAAAAAAAAAGGAGACATATGTAATACTCTTTGTAATAATTTAAGCAATAAAAAAATTAAAAAAAAAACACCAAAGATATTACTCTTTTTCTGGTTCTTTCCAGATATTAAAATTTATTGTTTAATGATTAAATTTGTATTAAATCTTGGATAATTAGCTACAAATACCCTTAATCCTTTTTATTGAGGTAACCTCTCTTGTAAAACAAAGATAACTTTTAAGTAAACCTTGTCTGGATTGAGCTGCTGGCTGGTGTTTTTTCCTTTTGGACTTGAATGTGGCAATCTATCCTATTTTGTAGGGTGGACTCTACTTGTCATTTAAGAAGACTCTCCTTCTTAAACTAATGCATAGTTTTAAAGCATTCTTGCACCAGTGGGGTCCCTCAGCCTGGCCTGTGGGGATTGGGCAGAAACCGGGTCTCCGACATCCCCCGAGGGATCCTGGATTTCAAGAGGGCACAGGCCAGGCTGAGGGACTCCACCCGTACACTGGGCCTCTAGTCCTATATAATAAAAGGGTAATATGCAAATGGACAAAATGGCTATGACGCTCACCGACTACCAGGGGGCAGACGCTCAATGCAGGAGCTGCCTCCTGGTGGTCAGTGCACTCCCACAGGGGGAGCGCTGCTCAGCCACAAGCCAGGCTGATGGCTGGTGAGCACAGTGGCCCGTCTCCACGGCAGTGCTAAGGATGTCCGACTGATGGCCATCAGTCAGACATCCCTCGAGGGCTCCTGGATTGCAAAAGGGCGCAGGCCAGGCTGAGGGACTCCCCTGTCCCCACCGAGTGCACGAATGTCATGCACTGGGCCTCTAGTATTTGATAAAGGGAATAATAGTGCATAAGCATTTTTCTTACCCTTGTTTTGAGCACTTAGGATATGAACAACTCAGGGGTTTACTTAAGCCTCTATTTAATGATTGAGAAAACTGACAAAGTAGAAAGGGCTTCAGGAGTTTGTGATGATAGGCTGCAGAACACCCAGAACACATGCCCAGATCTTGCTTAAAAGACAGGTTTGAACAAAAAGTTGATTGCTCTGAGAGGGTGATGGCAAATTAATAAAGAATCTAGTCTTTCAGGGAAAGTTCTCTTTCATATAAAGACTCAAGTAAAATATATTTTAAAATTCCCATAACATCAGAATTTTCTCCTTATATGAATCATGGTTTTTTTCACATTCCCCATGATTCCAAAGGAATCAACAGCAAGCAGTTTGATACACGGTAATGAATAACAGAAATTTTATGAGAACTTCATTGTAAATTATGTAGCACATTTATCTTTTTAAGAATAAATCTCAGGGTGGGGGGGAAAAAAGGACACTTATGTAATACCCTTTGTAATACTTTTAGCGAAAAAAAAAAAAGAATAAATCTCTATATATTAGGTTTCTGGATTTGGAAATTAGAAGTTCTTCTAATGTATGTTTTACTTCTTATATATGCTTAAGGTAAAATTTTAGCATAATGACAATTATAATTATGAAAAAATTTTGAACTTTTTAATATTAGATTTTACCTGTGATGTGGAAAGAAATGAGTCATTGATCAAAGCAGAAAAGAACCCCTTCTCAAATACAGAAAAGATTGAGCTCAGGGGTAAACACAGCCAGGATTTTATTAAGCGAAACATTGAGGTATGTATTTAGAAATTTAGAAGCCAGAATGTGGACTAAATGAGTTGTGATAATGGAAATAGTTGTGTTTAGTGACTTTAAATATTTTTTTGACTGTGATACATGTATATGATCTAAACAGCATATGTGACGGAAAGAATAGTTTTATGAACCAGTACTTTACTATTTTCTATTTAATTTTATCTTATCCTCTCCTACTCATCACATTTATTCCAAAAACCAGAAATGAATATGTTTTTTACATTGATATAATATAAAGAGAGGTGAGAAAATTGCTTGTGTTTTATTTTATAAATAAAACATTTGTTAAAAAGGTAACATGAGGGTTTACTTATAGTGAACATATCTTTGCTTGGAGAACAGACCTATACCAAAATTTGACATAAAATAAAATTAATTGGCAAATGAAAATGCCTAATCTCACAAATTTTACTTTGTGTATCTATACTGTAGTAACCTCAGGTTTCATTTTTATTTTCCTGAACTATGAATTGCTTTGAGTTTTTAATATTTTTCATTAATACATTCTGTAGATGGCCAAGAATTCAGGGAAACCAGAGGTTATGATCGACAGAGAGAAGAAAAGGCTGGTTGAACTTCTGAAGGACTTAGATGACCGAGATTCGGGGCTGTCCAGTTCTGGGGTATGTAAACTCTGAGAGTCACACCTCTACACTTCTTAATATATATTTTTTAATCATGTTATTGACCTATTAGTATACATTCATAATCATTTTTAAGATTATGAGATAATATTGTCTGACTTTAAAAAATCTTATTTACAGATTTGTATTGACATTTTCAAATTTATTCTTGGTCAATTCATTATTGACTTCCAAAGGATTATTTTATGTCATTATAAGAGTTACTACACATTGGTTATCACAATAATAACTCTGTCTGTGATGTAATGGGCTTAGTACTGATGGTGTATAATGTTTTGCTCAGTATCCTGTTATTTTGGACATTTCCTATTCTCCCTAAACTGGCTCCATGATATTTCAGTGTAGTCTTTAGTAAACCTAAAGAACACTGTCCTGCTCCTGCCAGTTAACTTGGAGCATTCAGTTCCCTCATGAGTCCGGGGGAGCGAACAACATGTGATTCAGGGTGCAAGTACCAGTATTTATAGGGCCCTGGCAAGTCACATAAGGAGTGCAGTGGCTCAGCATTTGCACTTGCTTGCATACTAAACTTATAGCAATATTCTTTACTTGTACAAACAAATATGTTGTTCTGTGTTCCTTGAAGCTCTTAGCTTTGTCATCTAGTTTTTATTCCCCTACGTTGAATAGAGACGTAATGTAGTGAATGCTGCTAGCACCCTGCTCAGATCCCTTTTACCTGGCACCTGTCTGTGCATCTACCCTCCCTAACCCTGCCCTCTCACTCAAGATGAGATCAGCTCTGTGGTGCAGTTTGTCCTCCAGAGCTTCCCCAGGGTCAGCAGGTCTTCAGCTGAGACCAGTCCTTGCTTGGCTCTGTTTCCTTGGCCTTGGCCAAGTCTGCTTCTCTCGCTCCTCGCTCCTCATAAGAGGCACTCCGCTGAGGCTTTGCCTTTTCATTTGGGAAGGTACAGTGTCCTCAGGACTTCACCTGTGTGTTATTGGCCCAGCTGTGTCACAAAGCCATTTGTTTGCCGAGTTGCTGGGATGCAGTTATTTCACTCTCTCATTTTTGTAGCAGAGGAAGGCAAGGAAGAAAACTGGAAAAGGGGATCAGGTCAGTGTACAAGTGTCTGTCACAGATGGGTATAGAACCTCTGGATCTCTCTTCTAGGTCTTATAACATTTTTTTATAATCTTTATCTTTTTTGTCATTTTGCTCATATGAACTCATTTTAAAGTTTTCTAAGTTGGATTTTCAATCATGTCTGTTCCTCTATTTCTGCTATTTAGTTACTTATCCCTCTTTTGAGATTTATTTTTATCCTCAATGTTCATTGATTTTAGAGAGAGAGGAAAGGAGGGAGAGAGCGAAGGAGGAAAAGGGAGAGAGAGAGAGAGAGAGAGAGAGAGAGAGAGAGAGAGAGAGAGAAAGGAGAAACATCAATTTGTTGCCTCCTGTACATTTCTTGACCTGGGATCGAACCCGCTACCTGGGTATGTGCCCTGATCAGGAATTGAACCTACAACCTTTTGGTGTAAGGGAAGACACTCCAACCAACCAAGCCACCTGGCTAGGGCCTACTTATTGTTGTTTTTTGAACTAATATTTGCTGAGAGTTTTTTTCTGCAAGTCCTCTAAGGAGAAAGAGGGTTTTGTCTTATTCTCTGGCATGGGAGATAGACATTTTATACAGAAATTCTATAAAGCCAGGTAGATAATGGCATATGTTGAAAAAGAGATTCTGAGGAGGAAGATATGAAGTGCCGCAGAAGACTTTAGGAACACGTTGAGGAGGAGACCCATCTACTGTATTCTCAGACAGCACCAAATTTCATGTCATTCCTCAAATCTGCTGTATTCTTCTGTGTGCCCTTTACTTTATGGAGTGCCCCATCACTTCCTCTCTGATAAACACCTATGAGACTTAAAGAGGATGACTAAAATGATAATTATGTCTTAATTCCCCAAAACTCTTGCCCTCTGGTTGTTCCTTTTACTGGCATGTTTAATTATGTGGGTGTAATATTCTCTTGAATCTCTCTAGGATACTTAGAATTTTTAAGAGATTTCCTCCTGGATTGGGAACTCACACTTAAAACTAACGTCACTTTCCAAAGCCAGATGCCTCTACTATCATCTTCCCAGCAAAATGGGTTTTGCATCAGATCTCAAATTACATCTAACTCAGTACCAAGTGGGTGAGGCTGGTTGTGGACCCTTGGTTACTAGCCTGGGCCCTAGCTGTAAAGGAGGATGGTGAAGAGCATTTTCTGGGTTCTGTCTTAGGGAGGCAAGCTCCTAAAAGCTACAGATTTCCTACACATAGCAAGGGTGTCTAGAAGGTGCTAGACAGACAGAAAAACACTGTAACATCTACTACATGTTACATATAATTTCCGTCTGCAACTGCATAGTGAATGGAGCATTTATATTTCTGTTGAAGTTAATCTGACATGTTCTTTTACCTCCAGTGTCATTAAAAAGAATTCCATTCAGACAAGAATTTAAAATTTATTAACCAATATTTAGTCATTGTGATTCCATAATTTTACTTTTTGGTGGTACTTTATTATTTCTCATTTAAGTAACACAGTATTTATATCACTTTTATTTAGGAAAAATTAAGCAGGGTTTCTTACTTGTGGATAGCTAGGTGGTATTATTTTTAAAATAACTATGTATGACTTTCATGTGCCAATTTCCAAGTGTATTTAAAATGTTTATTACTGTATCATATTCTTGTAGGGATATACTACAATTGACTTATTTTTAGACATTTAGGCTTTTTGCCTATATTCTTTATTACAAATAACTTGGAAAAAATGTATTAGTCACTGTTTTGGGTTACAAGAAACAGAGATGGACTTTGGTTAAAAAAACAAAAACAAACCCAAAACAGAAACTGAATTTATTGGGAGGCTTGGGTAGTTCACAGACTCATGGAAATTCGGAGAACCAGGTTTGTAAACCACACCGATATCAAAGTGGCCAGAAACAAGGCCATAGAAACTCCTCAGAAACAGGCTGCTTCAAGCTGCACCGTAGTCCCAGCCACTCCCGAGGGGTGGTCACTGCTGCCACCGTCACTGCTGCCAGCACTGGCCTCACTGCCACTGCCGTCCCCTAGTCACTCCCCGGTTTCCCTGCACCTTCGCATCTCTCTTTCTCCCTCAGAGTCAAGGTCCAGGGTGTTGACTTCTGTTTGGCCGAGTCCAGGTCACTTGCTTGTCTTCTTGATGCCAGTGGGCAGGGAGAAGGAGTGTCTGGTGGGGACCTATCTCCTACCAAGACTCATGCAGTGTTTGTTTTCACTGAAACAAGAAGGGAGATTTCATGCTAGGGTCAAGGGGAGACACAGAAACCTATGTCTTTCTGCATAGGTTTTAGCATATATTACATCTAGGGATTGATTCCTGGTATGAGTGTCCTGGTATGAAATTCTTAAGCTTCCTTGCCCTCCACCTGCCCCTTTATTTTAAAAATGTTCTTCATGATTCTTCTGTCATCGTACTACATGCTTCCCTGTGTGATCTCACCCATTCCCATGGTCCAGGGTTTCAAGCCACTATAGATGTATGGGTGAGTCCGAAGTACTCATTTCTAACCCAGTTCTCTCCCTTGAACTTCAGACATCTGTTTACCTAACACAATCTGTGGATATCCTACGGACATCTGTGCAAATATCAAAAGGTCCCAAACAGAATTCATCATTTACCGTCTCAAACCTAACACATCTGTGTTCCCTAGTTTGGTCAGTGTGATTAACATCCCCCTCATTGACAATATCAGGAAGTTAGTGTTTATCCCTGATCCTTCCTCTTCCCTTTACCCTTCCATCACATTATCTCTAGCATCTGTAAATTCTACTTCCTAAGTTTCTCTGGAGTCTGTCTGTCTTATATTCTGCACTCCCAGGAGACATTCCTCAGTCCAGGCACTTACCACTTTTGTTTTAGATTATGAAGTTTGCTTCTTAACTGGGTTTTCTGCCTCTAATCTTGCCCTCACCAGCTGCAGTTTTAAAGTGCATGTTGTTTCTTTTATTAAGATATGATTAAGTTTGATTATTTCTGCCAGGAAGCCTTTTCCATCCACTTTGCCCCTTCCTGTCCAACTAACAGAGGGTAGTTGACCCTCTCTGGTTCACGACCTGCTGGCTTAGGCCTGCTGAGCTTCACACCTTGTTAAAATCTTTGCTGCCAAGAGACTGAGAACTCCTTGAAGGCAGAACCTTGTGAGATTCATGCCACCCTCAGTCACGCTCAGGGTAGGGCTGATTGGGGGGTTGGGGCACCACCTCCTATCACACTCAAGGCAGGGTCAATGGGGAGGTTTCGGCGCCACCCCCTGTGATGCACAGAGCAGGGCCAATCAGGGGGTTGGGGCGCTGTCCCCTGTCACTCACAGAGCAGGGCCAATCAAGGGGTTGGGGCACTGCCCCCTGTCACACACAGAGTAGGGCCGATAGGGGAGTTAGGGCACCGCCCCCTGTCACACACACACAGCAGGGCGGATCAGGGGGTTGGGGCGCCACCCTCTATCACCCACAGAGCAGGGCCGATCAGGGGGTTGGGGCGCCGCCACTGTCACACTCAGGGCAGGGCCGATGGGGAGGTTATGGCTCTACCCCGTCACACACAGAGCAGGGCCCGTGGGGGGGGGGGCGGTTGGGGCGCCACCCCCTGTCACACACAGAGCAGGGCCGATCAGGGGGTTGGGATGCCACACCCTGTCACACACAGAGCCACAGGGCGATCAGGGGGTTTGGGCGCTGCACCCTGTCATGCTGATCTGGTGCCAGGAGGCCTTGCAGCTCCGCTGATCCCGGTGCTGGGAGGCATATTACCCTTTTACTATATAGGATAGAGGCCTGGGGGCCGGCTGGTTTGCCCTGAAGGGTGTCCTGGATCAGGGTGGGGGTCCCCACTGGGGTGCCTGGCCAGCCTGGATGAGGGGATGATGGCTGTTTGCAGCTGGTCACACACCCTTCAGGGTGGGGGTCCCCACTGGGGTGCCTGGCCAGTCTGGGTGAGGGGCTTAGGGCTGCCTTAAGGCCGGCGATTGACTGAAGCTTCCAACCGCTCCTTTTTTTCTTTTTTATTCTGGGCCAGCTTTAGCTCTGGCTCTAGCTCTGAGGCTTCCGCTGCTGGTTTGTTTGCCGTTCTATAATCGAAACAATGTATAACTTCAGCTCTGAGATCCCGGCCTATATTTGTTAGAATGTTTCAAACTGCCAGCTCAGAGGCCGGCAAGTCAGGCGGGGAACTTGGAGTCTGCAGTTACTGGAGCAAGCAAGCCTCACGTTCGCTTCCAGCTGCCTGGCTGCCGGCCGCCATCTTGGCTGACAGTTAATTTGCATAAGGATACGCTGATTAGCCAATGGGAAGGGTAGCGGTCGTACGCCAATTACCATTTTTCTCTTTTATTAGTGTAGATGATTAAGTTTGATTATTTCTGCCAGGAAGCCTTTTCCAACCACTTTGTCCCTTCCTGTCCAACTAACAGAGGGTAGTTGACCCTCTCTGGTTCCCAAGGTGCCCTAGACTTACTGGTGAGCTTCACACCTTGTTAAAATCTTTGCTGCCAAGAGACTGAGAACTCCTTGAAGGCAGAACCTTGTGAGATTCATGTTGAATCACCAGTGTAATGCCGACACAGAGTAGGCACTCAGTATGAGATTTTTAAAAAAATTATTGACAGCATTACAAATGTCTCCCATTTTCTTTCTTTTTGTCCCCCCTCCACCTCAGGCCTTCCCCATACTATTGTCTGTGTCCATGGATTGGGCATATATGCATACTAGAAGCCCGTTGCACGAAGATTCGTGCAATAGGCCTTCCTTCCCCTTGCTACCAGTATTGGTTTTCCTCCGGCACCCAGAACCCAGGCCTTTGGTCCGGCCGCAGTGGAGAAGCCAAGCCTCGAGGCTAGGCTTCTCCCCTCTGGCTGCAGCGAGGCTTGGCTTCTCTGCTGTGGCTGCACCCGCAGTGGAGAAGCCAAGCCTCTTCAGTCTTCAGTCTTCACTCCAGCCAGAGCCTTCAGTCTTCGTTCTGTGCCTGTGTATGCAAATTAACCGCCATCTTTGTTGGGTTAATTTGCATACTTGTTCTGATTGGCTGGTGGGCATAGCAGAGTGACACCAATTTGCATGTTTCTCTTTTATTATTGTAGACTAGAGGCCTGGTGCACAAAAAATTTGTGCACTCGGGGGGGGGGGGCCCTCAGCCCGGCCTGTGCCCTCTCACAGTCTGGGACCCCTCGGGGGATGACCACCTGCTGGCTTAGGCCTGCTCCTCGGGGGATTGGGCCTAAGCTGGCAATCAGACATCCCTCTGGCAGCCTGGCAGCCCTCGGGGGATGTCCACTTGCCAGCAGGGAGCAGACCTAAGCTGCAGTCGGACATCCTTAGTGCTGCTGAGGAGGCAGGAGAAACTCCCACCACCACCGCTGTACTGGCAGCCATCAGCCTGGCTTGTGGCTGAGCAGAGCTCCCACATGTGGGAGTGCACTGACCACCAGAGGGCAGCTCCTGCATTGAGCGTCTGTCCCCTGGTGGTCAGTGTGTGTCATAGTGACCAGTCATTCCCAGTCCTTCTGCTGTTAGGGTCAGTTTGCATATTACCCTTTTACTGTATAGGATAGAGGCCTGGTGCACGGGTGGGGGCCAGCTGGTTTGCCCTGAAGGGTGTCCCGGAACAGGGTTGGGGTCCCGCTGGGGTGCCTGGCCAGCCTGGGTGAGGGGCTGATGGCTGTTTGCATCTGGTCACACCCCCTTCAGGGTGAGGGTCCCCACTGGGGTGCCTGGCCAGCCTGGATGAGGGGCTGAGGGCTGTTTTCAGGCTGGCCAAGCCGGTGACTGAAGCTCCCAGCCTCTCCTTTTTTTCTTTTCTTTTTTTTTATTCTGGGATTTATTTACCTTCTATAATTGAAACTGTTGCCGCTCCAGCTCCGAGGCCACGGCTTGCTGAAAGCAGTTATCTTGGGTTTGTTTAGCTTCTATAATTGCACCTTTGTTGCTTAGAGTGGAGCTCAGAGCCCGGCTGCGGCAGGCGGGGAACCTTGGCTTCCTCCATCACTGGAGCAAGCAAGCCTCCTGCTCGCTTCAGCTGTGGCTGCCATCTTGGTTGGGTTAATTTGCATATCCTGCTGATTAGCCAATGGGAAGTGTAGTGGAGTTATGGTCAATTACCATGTTTGTCTATTAACACTCCGGTGTGGGGTGAATTTCCCGCCAAAATATAAGATGGCTCTGTCTTTTGGTTTTGTTCCATCCACCAAAAGGGTGGATTACAAACAAATATTTGGTAATACGCAGTTACAATCGGCCCGAGTTTACACGTTTCCCGCACTCCACCGCAAATCTATATGAACCGAGTTAAAGACGGCTCCCGCGGAGTACGCGCAATTCACGCGAGCCGACTTAACTCGTTTCCCGCACTCCAAGTGTTATTAGATTAGATATGTTCTTCAGTATGAGATTTTTGAATTGTTATGAATGGGTCTTTATTATGAAACTATAATGTTAGTTGAATGAGTTAGATGGCCAGTTAAATTCATAAAATCCAAACAACTGAGTTTATAGGTCCTATGTTACTTTTCAGGCACAAATTTTGAAAATACCATGTCCATTATAGGATAAACATGATTTCTCCCTCTTCATCATATTACAACCACTTTCACAAAGTGGAAAAATGAGCATGCAATGAGAATCAGACTGTGAGGATAAGAGATTTATTTCACAGGGCAAAAAACCTACAAAGGGTAATTTATGGAGATATTTTACACAGACTTGGCAGATAATGAAATCATAAACTATTTAATTTTTTTTCTTTCACTATGCCAGTGTTAAATCTGTGCTTTTGTTTTATTTTGTTTTCTTAAAAATTTTTTTTTGGATGAAATCCTGAGCATTGAAGTAGCAGTCTGAAAGGTATATTATATTTTGGGAAAAAATATAGAATGGGAATGATCTGGTGACCATTTTTTCCTTCTAGGGTGATCTGTCTGTCTGTCTGGTCCCAGGCGAGGGATATACACTGGCAGTCACCCAGCATCAGCAGCTTGCTGAAATAGATACAAAGCTCCAAGAATTCTTTGCAGCCTCCCCAACAACGTTCAGCTTTTCTCCAGGACTTGGACATCAGAATGATCAGGTATATCATACTCAAGAGTGCATGGACCGCTCAGGTTTATGTGTGCTAAAGCTAGTTCACATTTGGCAGTCCACTTGTTAACAAAGAGGTTTCTTCCCCATTGCTTTTCCTTCTTCCCAGTTGCTTATCCTTCCATGACTACAACTGCAGCGATAGTAATTTCTATTATAGTGTGTATTTTCCTTTGGTGATTTCTCTCTATTCATTTTTATTTCAGTTGGTAATTTGCTGGGATGGAGTTACTGAGCAAATATTATTTTAATATTATTATTTCTTAAGATATAAGCTAATTCTTTTTGTTGTTATTAATCCTCACTCGAGGATATTTTTCCATTGTTTTATAGAGAGAGTGGAAGGGAGGGGGAGAGACAAAAAGAGGGAAACATTGATGTGAGAGAGACACATCAATTGGTTGCTTCCCGTATGTGCCCCAACTGGGGCTAGGGATCAAGGTACATGCCCTTGACTGGAATTGAACCTGTGACCCTTCATTCCGTGGGCCAATGCTCTATCCACTGAGCCAAACCAGCTAGGGCTAAGCTAATTCTTGATTGTGATCAGGAGGGAGGAGAGGGAAGAAAATTGATGTAGCACTTATTAGTATTTTGAGAGCCATGTTTCTCTTTATTCCTCTAGTTCTAGGTATTAGCACTGGTAGCCACCGTTCCTTATTCTGACACATTCTTTAGCTCCTTTAATGGAACATCAAGCAGTGAAGCTCACCAGGTTGATGTCTACTCTCCTATGAGTATTTTGAAATGAATGTGTTTCCTCTCTTAATAGTTCCCTCAAATATTCTTTTACAAAGCTGGTAGGATGTGTAGAAAACCAGAAGAATGATAGTAGCTTTGGAAAAGTAAAATTATTCCCTCTCCCCCACCCCGACTATATTTCAGTACTTCTTGGGATCTAGTTTGGCCTTGGATAGCAGTTTTCACATGAAGAGAAAATGGCTGGTCTCTTGTTATTTTTACTGACCCTCTACCAGTTTTAGAAACATCTCACCAAATCATTTTCTGTACAATCTTGCATGTAATTTTCTTTGTTCTTAAAAAGATTTAAACATCAGTAATCTATAGGTAATAATTCTGCTTTATAGTGAATCTTTTATTCAAGCTATCAATTGAAGGTTAGCGATTTGGCTTTGGGCCAATTTAAACTATCTCAGGGGAAAGAGCAGTTTTAAAAAATGTTCTGAAGAAAGTTTGGTCACTGGCAAATCTTTATGGAGCCAGCTTAGCCTCCTTAGCTGGCCAAGCACAGCTGCTTCTGAGCCCTTTACGCAGCAGTAGTCGTGGTGATGGAAACCACTGATTTCTGGACTGGGGTCAGAGTTCTTGGAAAATAGAGAATTGGAATTTCTGTCCCCATCCAGATGTACCCTTGAACACCAACTACATTGCTAGTTTATTTATGTTAGTTGGTGCCATTTCTCAAAAGGAGGAAGCCAAGATGGGGAATATCCTGTGTTACAGCTGATTTTTAAAATTTTTTATTGTTGTTAGATTTCAGTGGCAGCTGAGATTTGAAAGCTGAATAATGGTCCTAAAGATAGAAAATGTCTTTTTCATGGTATCAAATGTTATTCTTGAATAACATTCAAGAATGAGAAACTGAGAATTTAGAGATTTGTTTAGCCATTAGGACTTTAAATAAAGTATGACTATGGTTAGATTCTGTCATTGTCATTTAAATCACATTTTCAGAGTGCACATTTATGGTTCTGATAAAATATTTAGAAAATAGTAACAGGGGAACCATCAAATTACTTAGTTGTTACTTAATGAGATTATATATTTTTATGTGAAACATTAATTAAAAGGAAAGAGAAAACTGCATTTTGGGACTCCCATTGGATGGAGAAACAGAAATATGACATCCTAGTTGTTGAAAAGAAGTGACGAATGCTTTTTGCATGCAAAATAAAGAATATCTTCGAGCTTTTATTCAATTTCCTTTTGGCATTTTCTCATTTCTAACTAAAACCAGAATTGCACATTGAATTTTCAAGCCAGAAATGCTAACTTGGCAAATTATTTTATGGATATTATTTTTGGATTGGAATTCTTTTTGAATAAATACACTGAAAAATATCTTGGATAAACCCGGCGTATCTATTCAGTTGATGAATGGGCTCTAATCTACTGCTGACCCACAAATATTCATAGTGAATATTCACGTTACTTTTATTTTTCACTCCTTCTGCAAACCGTTAACTCATCAAAATTTTTTCTCCATGCTCCTTAAGAAATAATGTCTTTTAAATGAAATATAAACTTCTGTTTTTCAACAATCAATTCAACAAATATTAATGAAGTGCTCACTGTGTGCAAGGAATTATAGGACATTTAAAGGTAAGTCAGGCAAATATAGAACTCGCTGCAAGTGCTGGCTCTTTCACTTACTAGTTCTGATGCCTGGGAATTAATTACAAATACTCCTATCTCCAGTTTCCTCATCTGTAAAATAGTAATAATAATACAATTCTTTAGTGTTCTTTTAAAGGGTAGATGCGTTAATACAGTGGTTGGCAAACTGTGGCCCCTTGAGTGTGGCTCTTCCACAAAATACCACGTGTGGGCACGCACATATAGTGCGATTGAAACTTCGTGGCCACACTCAAGGGGCCAAAGAGCCGCATGTGGCTTGCAAGCCCCAGTTTGCCAACCACTGAGTTAATATATGTAAAATGCTTAGCAGTGTCTGACACAGAATTCAACCAATGATATTATTAGAATAACTAGAGGCCCGGTGCATGAATTCATGCACAGGTGGGGTCCAGCTGGCCCTGCCCCACTGGGGGGGGGGCAATAGGAGGCCGGCTGGCCAGGGGGTGGAGCCACAGTGGTTGGCCAGCTCCGGCCCTGATCAGGGTGAGGGGGTCCAATTGAGAGTGGGGTTGGCTGGGGGGAGGGGCCACGGGCAATTGGCTGACTGACCCCTCCCCCTGGTCAAACTCCCGGTCGAACTCCCGATTGAGGGGAAAATTTGCATGTTAGCCTTTTATTATATAGGATAAGAAGTGACTTAAGGAATTTATTTTTTATGAGAGGCACAGATTGTACAGATAACAGGTATAAAACAACGTAGGCTAGCACAATCAAAGGCTATAAGCAAAGTATTATGGTGGTTCAGAGGAGAGAGAAAGGACATCTAGAAGGAGTACGAAGAAAGTCTCTTTCTGTGAGTGAGTGGCAGGAGGAGGAAGAGGAGCTTGTGAATGAGTCAGGAGGGGTCCGAGGCCCAGAAGAAGGCTGCCATTATACAGCAGGAGGTTGAGAACTGGTTGCCTGCAGGGCTCATAGATGGGTTTCCTTTAGCCCATATAGGGTTTGCAATCAACATTTAAAAATTGGGTGACCTCATACAAAAATCCAAATTTCTAGTTTCTGTTGAAAAATTAGAAAATCTGGCAACATTAGGCCCGAATCTTTGCTTGGCCCACTACAGGACTGAACCGAGTAGCAACTGCTGCTTTAGAAGGAGCACAAATTCTCTAGTTTGCTCCAGTGTCCACTACTCATATTGTATTGCAGGCCCTCAGGCCTACTGCCTGTATTTATGTTACTTTCCAACCCCTGCACAGGCCATCAGCACATCTTTGAATGCCGGCTTATTTCAGAGGAGATGCTGTGATGGTTGATGTTAAGTATTCAGATTAGTACGTGGCTTCACCCCTGGCCTTGAGGCAGCTTGTAGGTTACTGGAGGATAGGATATAATCACAGAACAAATTGTGGAGTGATCATATAATGAAACAAAAAGCAGCACAATATGGAAACTGAGAAAGTATATGTTTGATGAAGGCGTGATATTTAAAAGATTCTTTCGGAGATTTTAAAAATTGTGTTTCAAAAAATAGTTTCCCAAACAAGTTGAAACATGCAGACTTTCTGACTGACCTGACTATGGCAACCTTAACGTGCCACGTTGGTCAGCCTAGGATGATAAAGCACCTGAGTCATGATAGTTTGAGAGGCTCCAGAAATGTGACTCAGATATCAAGAAAGTGTTGGTTGTTGTGAAAAGGGCAGAGAGGAAACCTTTTCCTTATGAGCTTGCTGATTACAATGTTCTCAAATAGATGTGCTGGCCTGGCTCTTAACTTCATGGTAATATTTTAAAAGCAGCATTTGGCTTTTCCATATCTGATTTCCTTAGTGTAAAACAAAGCATGTGGTCACATTCAGGAGAACCAATGGCATATTACTGCTATTGCTGTGATGTAAATAATATCATGTGGCTGCAGATTTTACATCTGCTTTATATTTTCATTTCATCTTAGCAAAAGAGAACTAATTGAAGCAACTTTTTAAAGATCTGTGGCTTAACTGTGCATAATTTTCTGTATTCATCTAACTCTCCAACAAATCAGTTCTTTCCACGTATAGTAAATCCCACCATAAAATTGAGTAAGGTTTCATAATTTAGTACTGTATTTCTTATTTGTAGCTGTATGAGAGTCTAGATTTTCCCAGAAATATCTAAGATAGGAGTAATGTAAGCATTCAGTTTCTTAAGTCCTTAGCAACTGGATTCAATAATAGATTTGTTCAGGTTGGCTTTTTTAAAGAAGTGTAATTTATCTTTCATGCAATCAGTCTTACTAAATCTAGAATTCCAGTTTACAGTAAGATTTTCTTTTTCTGGTTGGGAGAGGGTCTTCAGAAATGGCTCTCATTGACAAGAGGTATTTCTTTGTTTTTAAACCAAGTAATGTAATTGAATATAAAGGTCCTGCTTAATTTGATTTATTTTCTTGTTCTTAAAATATTGATTCAGTTGTACACAATTTGGTAAGACCAATAGAATATCAACAAACATTTGATTGAGGAAAATAATAGTGTTAATCTCTTTCCTTGTCAAGAGCATACTATTGCTGATAGCAACAACTAACTTTTTTTCTTCTTCCTGTTTCAACAGTAGCTAAAACTGAGGAAATATAAATCATTGCTTGACATGTAATCCTGAAAGATTTTTATTGTTGAGTCCAGGGATTTG